ATCCCTATAAAGTGGTGACATTGAAACAAAACTACATAAAAATACAATTATGGTGAGACGCGTGTTCAATCACGTTGGACGTGTAACCCTACAAAAGTAGTGGCATTAAAGCATGACTAATAAAAATAATATCGTGGTGAGTCACGTTGGGCATGCAACCCTAGAAAAGTGCTGACATTAAAGCATGGCAACATGAAAGTAAAATTGTTTGTTAATGAAGTACTAAGACGAAATTATTTGGTTAATTGTTTGTTAATGAAGTACTAAGGCGGCGTTCTTTGATTTCTCCTTTGTTAATGAGGTGCTAACTCGACGTTCTCTGGTTTGTCGTTTGTTAATGAACTACTAAGTCGACGTTCTCTGGTTTGTCATTTGTTAATGAAGTACTAAGCCGACGTTTTTGGTATCTAGTTTGTTAAAATGTTAACACACACACACAGATACAGAAAAAAAAGAATTGTATTAAACAATTTTAAACAGTGTAAAAATTGTTTTTGGAATCAAAACGTATATCTTTCTAAATATCTTAGCTTTTCATAGTCGTTAACACATCAATTTACCTGTGTTTTATTTTGTGAGATTTAAAAACAAATCAATAATTTGAAAATTTAAATATTATTTAAAACACATGACGCATGAACAAACTACTCAGGGTTGGGTATGTTATATTAAAACGATACTGAATATACAAATCAGTAAGTCACGAGACAAACACAGCTGATGTAAAGTCATAGTGGAATGGGATGTATCAAACTACATTTAAAATTGTTTGGCGTTTCTTAAGTATTGTGATGCCACCGAAAATTGATCGCTTTTGGGAAGGATATCTGAAAGTTCTTTCCCAAGCAAGATATTCAATCACTCGGATCATAACGGTATGTTGGGATCGGCGATATCCAGTTTCAAACATGCAGATATCCCTTAGCATTGAAAAGCAAAGGAATATGGATCAACTCGGGCACTTGAATCATCCAGATATAGAGATATAAAAAGTTGTATCCCAGCCTTGGTAAGCAAAGTGCAGCGTTTTGAAATTGGTGAAAACCCACGAACATAATGATCAGTGACAAACGCCGGCCAAGTGTTTAATGCAACAATACGAAACAATCAAGAATTATTTCCAACTAGAAAAGCGAAACAATTCAGATGTATTACACAAGTTTCTTCCACGACATATCCAGGAAAAGAAGACCGACAGTATGGATGGTACTTAACCAGCACGTGGTGAAGAGAACAGTATGAATGATACTTAACCAGTACATGGTGAAGAGAACAGTATGAATGATACTTAACCAGTACGTGGTGAAGAGAACAGTATGAATGGTACTTAACCAGTACGTGGTGAAGAGAACAGTATGGATGATACTTAATCAGTACGCGGGGAAGAGAACATTATGAATGGTACTTAACCAGTACGTGATGAAGAGAACAGTATGAATGATGCTTAACCAGTACGTGATGAAGATAACAATATGAATGGTACTTAACCAGTACGTGATGACACTCAACAAGGCGTGTGTACACCATGATAACTAACAAGTTTCGTGCCATTTTCTACTGGCCAACGAGGAACATTTTTCCAATAGTGATAAATGGCATGTGCAATGATTCATGGCTACCGTTAGATATTTCATCCGGTCAAGTTAGAGATCAGGAGTAGTTGTGTTTAAAGTCGGTGCAATCGACACACCGATGGGCCCCTAAAGTAATGCGAAAAAAAAAGCTTATAAATTACTATACCTATAGGTGATCAGTACGGCTCCCTGAGATCTTAGGCCCCCTAAGAAAATGCACCAAGAAGTTTGAAGTGTTAAAAACACCTCCGATCAGGAGAGTAGATACAAAGATCAACGTTAACTGTGTTTACTATCATTTATTTGAACCATTTGTGCCACTCAGAAATACTAGTTTTGTACGGAAATGAGGCAAACAGGGTATGGGTGCACGAAGTTAAGACTTCTAGTCGTACCACTCAATCACCCATTGCATTCTTCAAGCAGTTGGAGAATAAAACGGGTGTTCATGCTATTCCATACGAAGAGAAACCGATTTTTGTGTAATCGGGTACTGTTGAAACAGGCACTGGAAACTCGTTTTCCTCGTACATTAGATGGATTATGGAAAAGACGCAGGGAGGAAAGGTGTGCTTTAGGTATGACATCCTTACGACAGAGCCTTTTGCAATGAAAACTACGATGCAGGGCTATTGTGAAGATCCATGATTGTCAGAATGAGCATAAAAGGACTTGGCGACAATACCATGAATGTCTTCACAAATGATTCTTAACAGATTTTATATAAAATTTGTAATTACATAACTATGCTATCAATTAGAATAAGGTGAACATCACCAAGCTTGACCTAGCAAATTTTAATAAAGCTGGTTTGAATAAAAATATTTATAGATTAACACGGGGTTATTCAAAACAATAACATAGTTTACCATTCACTGAAAAGTAGGTTTATAAATATAATTATCTAATAATGGTTTATTAAGTTATATACCACAGCCAAGGAAAGAAAAGTATCATTTTATATGGGTATACCATGTAACAAGTTATTTTCAGTACGAAAAGCCAACTTTATTAATACAGAAAAGAACCTACCTAATCTTTCCAACCGTCCATCTCTTCACTAATTGGTAATTATGCAGTGATGCACAGTTGGTACTAAGTAATGTAACGAACGGAAAGCTTCACTGTATACAAAACGGGTGGTTATTGTTAATAAGGCTAAAAGTAAAACAAAAGAAACGCTTCAAATTCGTACATAATTCTCTGCTTGAAATAACTAAAAATTTTAGAACTTACGTCACACATTTAATTATGCTGAAAATTAGTTTTTCCGGGTATAGAAGCAGCACATAATTATGTGAAAGACAACATGAGTGATATCTGTATAAGAAAATAGAAGTTACGCAAATACATTAAATAATAAAATTATAATCATTATACGAACATGTTATATTAGAAAACGAAGACTGACCAATATTTAAAGAGCATGAGATGCGTAAGTACACATTAGTAGGATTTTCATGCATAATCTCAAAATAAAATCATGTTATTAGGGTTTATAAACATAAACTCAATAAAAATCATATTAGTATGTAGTAGGATTCGTAATCAAACTCCAGAAATTGCATTTTAGTAGACAAACTCAACAAGTTGCATGTTAGTAGCACTTGTGAACACAAACTCAACATGTTAGTAGGACTTGTAAACATAAAACCAACTAATAGCATGTTAGTAGGATTTCTATACACAAAATCAACACATATTATGTTAGTAAGATCTGTAAACACAAAATCAACAAATAACATGTTAGTAGGAGTTGTAAACACAAACTCAACAAATAGCACGTTGGTTGGAATTTTATATACAAATTTAACAAAGAGCATGTTAGTACGATTTGTACACACAATATATTTTCGCCCAGACGTAGTAGTTAGTTTTCCTTACTCGAATATTTTAGGAGTCCTAATAGTAGTATGTGGTTTTGCATATTTTAAGTGTATTTTAGTCCAATAGTTTTATTGGTAGCAAATGTTACTTAATAGAAGTGTACTCTAGTCCATTAGTAGTTGTATTAGCTTGTTGTACTTAGAAGTAACTGCTGTTGTTTACTAGAGGTTAGTTTATTGTAGCCCATTAGTAGAAATTGTAGAAATGTATTCTAGCCTAG